TGTGTTTTATTCCCCATGTTGTCCCTGTGTTTGTTCCCTGTATTGTCCCTTTGTATTCTCCCGTGTTTTCCTCCTGTGTTTTTCCCTGTGTTTTGTTCTCTTGTCCCTGTGTCGTTCCTCTGTTTTTCCTCTGTGTTTTCCCTCTGTGTTTGTCCCTGTGTGTCCCTGTATGTGGTCCCCTGTTCCCTGTGTTTATTCTTCCGTGTGTATTCCTCCCTGTATTTTGTTCTTTGTCCCCATGTAGTCCTCCCGTGTTTTATTCCTATGTTTTCCCTGTGTTTTGTCCTATGTTGTCCCCGTGTATTTCTCCCTGTGTTTTTTCCTGTGTTTTGTCTATGTTGTCCCTGTGTTCCTCCCTGTGTTTTGTTCCCTGTGTTGTCCCTGTGTTTCCTCCCCTGTGTTTTGTTCCCGTGTTTTGTTCCTTATTTGTCCTGTATTCTCCCTGTGTTTTCCTCCCGGGTTTTCCCCTGTGTGTTTATTCCCTGTGTTGTCCCTGTGTTTTCTCTCCCTATATTTGTCCCCAGGTTTTCCTCCCTGTGTTTCCTCCCTGTGTTTTGTTCCCTGTGTTTTTTTCTGTGTGTTGTGTTTCTTCCCTAGCTCCTCCCTTGTATTCCCCTGTTTTTTCCTGTGTTGTCCCTATGTATTCCTCCCCGTGTTGTCCCTCCCTGTGTATTCCCTGTGTTGTTCCTTCCTGTTGTCCTCCTATGTTTTTTCTCCCTGTTTTGTTCCCTCTGTGTGTCCTGTGTAGTCCTCCCTGTGTTTTGGTCCTGTGTTGTCCTCCTGTGTTTTCTGTCCCTTGTTGTCCTCCCTGTGTTTCCTCTGTGTTTTTGTTCTGTGTTGTCCCTGTATTCTCCTGTGTAGTCCTCCTGTGTTTTGTTCCCTGTGTTTTGTTCCTATTTTCTCCTGTGTTGTCCTCCTGTTTTTTTCCCTGTGTTTCTTGTTGTCCCTGTTTATTTCCTCCCTGTGTTTTGTTCCCTATGTTGTCCCCGTGTAGTTCCTCCCCGTGTTTTATTCCCTGTGTTTCCTCCTGTGTTTTGTGCTATGTTGTCCCTGTGTATTCCTCCCGTGTTTTCCTCCTGTTTTGTTCCCTGTGTTGTCCCTGTGTGTTCCTCCTGTTATTTTCCTCCCTGTGTTTTATTCTGTGTTTGTCCCGTGTTTTCTCCTGTGTTCCTCCCAGGTTTTGTTTCCGTGTTGTCCCTGTGTAGTCCTCCTGTGTTTTCCTCCCCGTGCTTTAGTTCTATGTTGTCCCTGTGTATTCCTCCTGTGTATTCCTCCTGTGTTTTGTTCCTATGTTGTCCCTGTGTTTTGTCCCTGTGTTTCCTCCTGTTTTTTTCCCCTTGTTTTGTTCCTTGTTGTCCCGTGTATTCTCCTGTGTTTTCCTCCCTGTGTTTTTGTTCCTGTGTATTCTCCCTGTGTTTGTTCCCCAGTTTTGTTCCCCTGTGTTTTCTCCCATGTTGTCCCCAGGTTGTCCTCTCCCCTGTTGTTCTCCCCAGGTCTTCCCCCTGTCCTCCCCAGGTTGTCCTCCCCTGTGTGGTCTCCTGAGTCCCTCCCCCCAGGTTGTTCCTCTCCCTGTGGCTGTCTTCTCCCCTGTGTGGTCCTCCTGTGTTGTCCTCCCTGTGGTTTGTCTCTCTCCTGTGGGGTCCTCCCCTGTGGTTCTCCCGTGTAGTCCTCCCTGTGTGTCCCTCCTGCAAGGTCCTCCCCGTAGTCCCTCCTTGTGGTCCTCCCCAGTGTTGTCTTCCCCTGGTGTCCTCCCGTGTAGTCCTCCTCCCGTTGTCCTCCCTGCTGTAGTCCTCCCCTGTGTTGTCTTCCCTGTGGTCCCTCTGTGTTGTCTTCCCGTAGTCCCTCCCCTGTTGTCCCTCCCCTGTGTTGTTTCTTCCTCAGTGGTCCTCAGAGTGCCCTCCCCTGTGGGGTCCCTCCCCTGTTGTCTCTCCCAGGTTGTCCTCCCTGTCCTCCCCCTGTTGTCCTCCCTGCTGTCTCCTGTGGTCCTCCTGTCTCTCCCCTGGTTGTCTTCTCCCCTGTGGTCCCTCCCCGTGTTGTCCTCCCCCTGTGTTGTCCTCCCTGTGCTTGTCTCCTGTCTCCCCGTGTAGTCCCTCCCTGCCTCCTCCTGTAGTCCTCCCATGTTGTCTCTCCCCTGTGTGGTCCTCCCTGTGTAGTCCTCCCCGTTGTCTCCTGTGTTGTTCTCCCCAGTAGTCCTCCCCGTGGAGTCTTCCCCGTGTAGTCCTCCCTGTGTAGTCCCTCCCTGTGTTGTCTCCCCCTGTGTCCTCCCGTGTAGTCCTTCCTGTTGTCCTCCCTGTGTTGTCTTCTCCCCCTGTGAGTCCTCCCAGGTTGTCTTCCCTGTGTAGTCCTCCTCCCCTGTTGTCTCCCTGTGTCTCCCCTGTCCTCCCGTGGTCTCTCTCCCCAGTCCTCCCTGTCTCCCCAGTCCCTCCCTGTTGTCCTCCCTGTGTTTTCTTCCCCTGTGTTGTCCCTCCCTGTGTTGTCTCTCCTGTGTTGTCTTCCCCGTGGTAGTCCTCCCCTGTTGTCTCTTCCCCGTTCGGCTGTCCCCTCCTGTAGTCCTCCCTGTGTTGTCCTCCCCTGTGGTCCTCCCCGTGGTCCTCCCGTGCTGTCCTCCTGTGTGGTCCTCCCCTGTAGTCCTCCCCTGTGGTCTTCCCCGTGGTCCCCCTTTCTGTCCTCCTGTGGCTGTCTCCTGTGGTCCTCCCTGTGAGGTCCTCCCCTGTGTTGTCCTCCCCGTGGTCTCCTGTGTAGTCCTCCCCGTGTTGTCTCTCCCTGTGTGGTCCTCCCCGTGTTGTCTTCCCCTGTCCCCTCCCCCTTGTTGTCCTTCCCATGTTGTCTCCCTGGTGGTCCTCCCGCAGGTCCTCCCCAGTCCTCCCCAGGTCCTCCCCTGTTGTCTTCCTCGTGTGGCCTCCCCATGTCCTCCTGTCCTCCCTGTGTTGTCTCCCGTGGTCTCCCTGTGTTGTCCTCCCTGTTGTCCTCCCCTGTGTTGTCTTCCCCTGTGTGGTCCTCCCGCGGTGTCCCTGTGTTGTCTCTCCCTCGGTGGTCTCTCTGTAGTCCTCCCTGTGTTCCCTCCCTGTGGTTTCTCCTGGTCCCTCCTGTAGTCCTCCCCTGTGGTCCTCCCTGGTCCCTCCCCGTGTTGTCCTCCCCTGTCCTCCCCTGTCTTCCCCTGTAGTCCTCCCTGTCTTCCCCGTGGTCCTCCCAGTCCCCTCCCCTGTTGTCCCCTCCCCTGGTCCTCCTGTAGTCCTCCCCTGTTGTCTTCCCCAGTGGTCCTCCCCGTGGTCTTCCTGTAGTCCTCCCCTGTTGTCCTCCCCAGGTCCTCCCCGTAGTCCTCCCTCCTGTCCTCCTGTGGTCTTCCCGTGGTCCTCCCTGTGTTGTCTCCCCTGTGTGGTCCTCCCTGTGTGGTCTCCCGTGTCCTCCCTTGTTGTCCCGTGTTCCCCTGTAGTCCTCCCCTGTGTTGTCTTCCCCCTGTGTGGTCTCCCCTGTTGTCTCTCCTGTAGTCCTCCCCGTGTTGTCCCTCCCCTGTGTTGTCTTCCCTGGTCCTCCCGTGTAGTCCCTCCCTGTGTTGTCTTCCCGTGTAGTCCTCCTGTTGTCTCCCTGGTGTGGTCCCTCCCCGTTGTCTCCCCTGTTGTCTTCTCCTGTGCTGTCCTCCCCGTGTTGTCTCCTGTGGTCCTCCCCATGTTGTCTCCCTGTCCTCCTGTGTAGTCCTCCCCGTGTTGTCCTCCTGTGGTCCTCCCTGTCTCGTGTCCTCCCGTGTTGTCTCTCCCTGTGTTGTTCCCCGTAGTCCTCCCGTGTTGTCTTCCCCGGTGGTCCTCCCCTGTTGTCCCCTGTCTCCCTGTAGTCCTCCCGTGTCCTCCCCTGTGGTCTCCCTGTGTGGTCCTCCCTGTCTCCTGTGGTCTCTCCCTGTAGTCCTCCCCGTGGTCTCCCCGTGGTCCTCCCCTGATGTCCCTCCCTGGTCCTCCCCTGTGTTGTCTTCCCCCGTGTAGTCCTCCCCTGTGGTCTCCCGTGTCCTCCCCGTGTTGTCTTCCTGTGTGGTCCTCCCATGTTGTCTTCCCCGTGTAGTCCTCCCCGTGTAGTCCTCGTGTGGTCCTCTCCGTGTTTCTTCTCCTGGTCCTCCCCATGTTGTCTTCCCCGTGTAGTCTCTCCCGTGTGGTCTCCCCGTGTTGTCTTCCTGTGTGGCCCTCCCCATGTTGTCTTCCCCGTGTAGTCCTCCCCGTGTAGTCCTCCCCGTGTGGTCTTCCTGTGTGTGGTCTCGTGTGGTCCTCCCAGTCTCCCCGTGTGGTCCTCCCCGTGTGGTCCTCGTGTGGTCTTCCCCGTGTAGTCCTCCCCGTGTGGTCCTCGTGTGGTCTTCCCTTGTGGTCTCCCGTGTGGTCTTCCCCGTGTAGTCCTCCCGTGTTATCCTCCCCGTGTTGTCCTCTCCTTGTTGTCATCCCCGTGTTGTCTTCCCGTGTGGTCTCCCCGTGTGGTTTTCCGTGGTCTCCCCGTGTAGTCCTCGTGGTCCTCCTTGTTGTCCTCCTTGTTTCTTCCTGTCCTCCCGTCTGGTCTTGGTCCTCCCCGTGTCCTCCCGTGTGCTTCCCCTGTAGTCTCCCGTGTTGGTCTCCCCGTGTTGTCCTCGTAGTCTCCCTGTGAGTCTCCCGTGTGGTCTTCCCCATGTAGTCCTCCCCGTGTTGTCCTCCCCGTGTAGTCCTCCCGTGTTGTCCTCCACGTGTGGTCTCCCCGTGTGTGTCTTCCCGTGTGTCTTCCCCGTGTAGTCCTCCTGTGTTGTCCTCCCGTGTGGTCCTCCCCGTGTTGTCTCCGTGTGGTCTCCCCGTGTGGTCCTCCCCGTGTGGTCTTCCCCGTGTAGTCCTCCCTGTTGTCCTCTGTGGTCCTCCCCGTGTTGTCCTCCCCGTGTTGTCCTCCCCGTGTTGTCTCCTGTGGTCCTCCCCGTGTTGTCCCGTGTGTCCTCCCCGTGCAGTCCTCCCCGTGTGGTCTTCCCCGTGTAGTCTCCCCGTGTGGTCTTCCCCGTGTAGTCCTCACGTGTTGTCATCCCCGTGTTGTCTTCCCCGTGTGGTCTTCCCCGTGTAGTCCTCGTGTGGTCTTCCCCGTGTAGTCCTCCACGTGTTGTCTTCCCCGTGTGGTCTTCCCGTGTGGTCCTCCCGTGTGGTCCTCCCGTGTGGTCCTCCCCGTGTTGTCCTCCACGTCCCTCCCTTGTTGTCATCCCCGTGTCTCCTGTGTAGTCCTCCCCGTGGTCCTCCCCATTCCTCGTGTTTGTCCTCCCCGTGTTGTCCTCCCTGTGTAGTCCTCCTTGTCATCCCCGTGTTGTCTTCCGTGTGGTCTTCCCGTGTTAGTCCTCCCGTGTTGTCTTCCTGTGTGGTCCTCCCCGTGTTGTCCTCCCCGTGTAGTCCTCCTTGGTCCTCCCCGTGTAGTCCTCCTTGTGTCCCTCCCCTTGTTGTCTTCCCCGTGTTGTCCTCCTCTGGTTCCCGTGTGGTCCTCCCGTGTTGTCCTCCCCGTGTGGTCTTCCCCGTGTAGTCCTCCCCGTGGTCTCCCGTGTTGTCCTCCCCGTGTAGTCCTCCCCGTGGTCCTCCCCGTGTGGTCTTCCCCGTGTAGTCCTCGTGTTGTCCTCCCCGTGTAGTCCTCCCCGTGTTGTCCTCCAGTGTGGTCTTCCCCGTGTGGTCTTCCCGTGTGGTCTTCCCGTGTAGTCTCCCTGTGTTGTCTCCTCCCCGTGTGGTCTCCTCGTGTTGTCCTCCGTGTGGTCTCCCCGTGTGGTCCTCCCGTGTGGTCTTCGTGTAGTCCTCCCCATTTGTCCTCCCCATGTAGTCTCCCGTGTTGTCCTCCCATTGTCCTCCCCTGTGTCCTCCCTGTGTGGTCCTCCCCGTGTTGTCTTCCCGTGTAGTCCTCGTGCAGTCCTCGTGTGGTCTTCCCCTTTAGTCCTCCCCGTGTGGTCTTCCCCGTTGTAGTCCTCCACGTGTCATCCCCGTTGTCTTCCCCGTGTGGTCTTCCCCGTGTAGTCCTCCCCGTGTGGTCTTCCCCGTGTAGTCCTCCACGTGTTGTCTTCCCCGTGTGGTCTTCCCTTGTGGTCCTCCCCGTGTGGTCCTCCCCGTGTTGTCCTCCCCGTGTTGTCCTCCTGTGGTCCTCCCTTGTTGTCATCATTCTGGTCCTCCCCATTTTTGGGGCCTCCCGTGTTGTCCTCGTGTTGTCCTCCTGTGGTTCTCCTTGTTGTCATCCCCGTGTTGTCTTCCCCGTGGTCTTCCCCTGTAGTCCTCCCGTGTGGTCTCCCGTGTTGTCCTCCCTGTGTTTGTCTTCTCATGTAGTCCTCCTGTAGTCCTCCCGTGTTGCCCTTCCTCCCGTGGGTCTTCCCTGTCCTCCCCGTGTTGTCTTCCCGTGTGGTCCTCCCCGTGTAGTCCCCCCTGTGTAGTCCTCCGTGTAGTCCTCCCCGTGTAGTCCTCCCCGTGTTGTCCTCCTGTGTTGTCCTCCCTGTGTTTGTCTTCCTCGTGTAGTCCTCCCCGTGTGTCCTCCCCGTGTTGTCCTCCCCGTGTTGTCTTCCCCGTGTAGTCCTCCCGTGTGGTCCTCCCCGTGTAGTCTCCCCGTGTGGTCCCCCCGTGTAGTCCTCCCGTGTAGTCCTCCCCGTGTTTGTCTCCCCGTGTGGTCCTCGTGTGGTCCTCCCGTGTTGTCCTCCCCGTGTTGTCCTCCTGCTGTGGTCCTCCCGTTTGTCATCCCCGTGTCTCCTGTGTAGTCCTCCCCGTGTGGTCCTCCCCTTTGTCCTCCGTGTTGTCCTCCCCGTGTTGTCCTCCCTGTAGTCCTCCCTTGTTGTCATCCCCGTGTTGTCTTCCCCGTGGTCTTCCCATGTAGTCCTCCCCGTGTAGTCTTCCCTGGTCCTCCCCGTGTTTGTCCTCCTGTGTTGTCTTCCTCGTGTAGTCCTCCCATGTTGTCCTCCCCGTGTGGTCTTCCCTGTGTGGTCTCCCGTGTTGTCCTCCCGTGTTGTCTTCCTGTGTGGTCCTCCCCGTGTCCTCCCCGTGTTGTCTTCCCCCGTGTGGTCTTTCCCCCGTGTAGTCCTCCCCGTGTGGTCTTCCCGTGTAGTCCTCCCGTGTTGTCCTCCTGTGTTGTCTTCCTCTTGTAGTCCTCCCCGTGTAGTCCTCCCCGTGTTGTCCTCCCGTGGTCTTCCTGTGTGTGTCCCCCGTGTTCTCCCCGTGTTGTCTTCCTGTGTGTCCTCCCCGTGTTGTCCTCCCCGTGTTGTCTTCCCCGTGTGGTCTTCCCCCGTGTAGTCCTCCCCTTGTGGTCTTCCCCGTGTGGTCTTCCCTGTGTGGTCTCCCGTGTGGTCTTCCCCCGTGTAGTCCTCCATGTTGTCTTCCCCGTGTGGTCCTCCCGTGTTGTCTCCCGTGTTGTCCTCCTGTGTAGTCCTCCTTGTTGTCATCCCCGTGTTGTCATCCCCGTGTTGTCTTCCCCGTGTGGTCTTCCCCGTGTAGTCTCGCCGTGTAGTCCCTCCGTGTTGTCTTCCCGTGTTGTCTTCCCCGTGTTGTCCTCCCTGTGTTGTCTTCCCCGTGTAGTCCTCCTGTGTAGTCCTCCCGTGTTGTCTTCCCTGTGTTGTCCTCCCGTGTTGTCTCCTGTGTAGTCCTCCCCTTTGTTGCATCCCGTGTTGTCTTCCCCGTGTGGTCCTCCCCGTGTTGTCTTCCCCGTGTTGTCCCTCCTGTGTAGTCCTCCCTGTTGTCATCCCGTGTAGTCCTCCCCGTGGTCCTCCCGTGTTGTCCCTCCTGTGTAGTCCTCCTTGTGTCATCCCCGTGTTGTCTTTCCCCCGTGTGGTCCTCCCCGTGTTGTCTTCCCCGTGTTGTCCTCCCCGTGTTGTCCTCCTGTCCTCCCCGTGTTGTCATCCCCGTGTTGTCCTCCTGTGTAGTCTCCCCTTGTTGTCATCCCCGTGTTGTCTTCCCTGTGTAGTCCTCCCCGTGTTGTCTTCCCTGTGTTGTCCTCCCGTGTTGTCCTCCCCGTGTTGTCCTCCCGTGTTGTCTTCCCCGTGTGGCTTCCCGTGTAGTCCTCCCCGTGTTGTCTTCCCGTGTGGTCTCTTGTCCTCCTGTGTTGTCTTCCTCGTATAGTCCTCCCCATGTTGTCATCCCCGTGTAGTCCTCCCCGTGTAGTCCTCCCCGTGTTTGTCCTCCCTGTGTAGTCCTCCTTGTTGTCCATGTTTGTCTTCCCGTGTAGTCCTCCCCGTGTTGTCTTCCCTGTGTTGTCCTCCCCGTGTTGTCCTCCCCCATGTTGTCTTCCCCCTGTGGTCTTCCCTGTGTCCTCCCGTGTTGTCTTCCCCCTTGTTGTCCTCCCCGTGTTGTCCTCCCGTGTAGTCCTCCCGTGTTGTCCTCCTGTGTTGTCTTCCTCCTATAGTCTCCATTGTTGTCATCCCCGTGTTGTCTTCCCCGTGTAGTCCTCCCGTGTTGTCTTCCCCGTGTGGTCTTCCCCGTGTTGTCCTCCTGTGTTGTCTTCCTCGTGTAGTCCTCCCCGTGTTGTCCTCCCGTGTGGTCCTCCCCGTTTCCTCCCGTGTAGTCCTCCCGTGTTGTCTTCTCCGTGTTTGTCTTCCCCGTGTAGTCCTCCCGTGTATTCTCCCTGGTAGTCCTCCCGTTTAGTCCTCCCCGTGTGGTCCTCCCCGTGTTGTCTCCCCGTGTAGTCTCCCGTGTTGCCTCCCTTGTTTGTCTTCCTCGTGTAGTCTCCCTGTGTTGTCTTCCCCGTGTAGTCCTCCCCGTGTTGTCCTCTGTGTTGTCTTCCTCATGTAGTCCTCCCCGTGTAGTCCTCCCTTGTTGTCTTCCCGTGTAGTCCTCCCGTGTTGTCTTCCCTGTGTGGTCCTCCCCGTGTTGTCCTCCTGTGATGTCTTGCTCGTGTAGTCCTCCCGTGTGGTCCTCCCCGTGTTGTCCTCCCGTGTGGTCTTCCTGTGTGGTCCTCCCCGTGTTGTCTCCCCGTGTAGTCCTCCCCGTGTTGTCTCCCCGTTTTGTCTTCTCGTGTAGTCTTCCCCGTGTAGTCCTCGTGTAGTCCTCCCCGTGTAGTCCTCCCCGTGTAGTCCTCCCCGTGTGGTCTTCCTGTGTGGTCCTCCCCGTGTTGTCTCCCCGTGTAGTCCTCCCCTGTCAGTCCTCCGTGTGGTCTTCCTGTGTGGTCCTCCCCGTGTTGTCCTCCCGTGTAGTCCTCCCGTGTAGTCCTCCCCGTGTTGTCCTCCCCCGTTTTGTCTTCTCCCCGTGTTGTCTTCCCCGTGTAGTCCTCCCCGTGTAGTCCTCCCGTGTAGTCCTCCCGTGTAGTCCTCCCGTGTGGTCTTCCTGTGTGGTCCTCCCGTGTTGTCCTCCCGTGTAGTCCTCCCGTGTGGTCTTCCCCGTGTGGTCCTCCCCGTGTGGTCTTCTCCGTGTAGTCCTCCCCGTGTTGTCCTCCCCGTGTAGTCCTCCCGTGTAGTCCTCCCGTGTTGTCCTCCCCGTGTTGTCCTCCTGTTTTGTGGATCTAATTCCCTTTAATTGTTCCCATTTTTTGCCTGTATTTCCACAATGTAAAATTTCGATGGTGAAAAAAATACCAAATAAGCAACTGAGAATTATGAAGACTTGGGAAGAACAAGTTACATATACGACCAAATGGAGTATACAGTAAAACCTCTATTTAACGGACTGTATGGAAAAAAAAGTCTGTTTTATCGAGGGTCCGTTATATGTGAAACCTCCACCTAATGAACTATGTTGAGATGATAGTCCGTTATGGTGAGAATCCGTTAGTTGTGAACTTCCCCCCATCTAACGGATTATATGGAGAGAGAAGTCCGTTATGTGGAGAGAGAAGTCCGTTATGTGGAGAAGTCCGTTATGTGGAGAGAAGTCCGTTATATGGAGAGTAGTCCGTTATGTGGAGAGAAGTCCGTTATGTGGAAGTCCGTTATGTGGAGAGAAGTCCGTTATGTGGAGAAGTCCGTTATATGGAGAATCCGTTATATGGAGAGAAGTCCGTTATGTGGAGAAAGTCCGTTATATGGAGAAGTCCGTTATGTGGAGAGAGAAATCCGTTATGTGGAGAGAGAAGTCCGTTATATGGAGAGAGAAGTCCGTTATGTGGAGAGAGAAGTCCGTTATATGGAGAGAGAAGTCCGTTATGTGGAGAGAGAAGTCCGTTATATGGAGAGAAGTCCGTTATGTGGAGAGAGAAGTCCGTTATATGGAGAGAAAAGTCCGTTATGTGGAGAGAGAAGTCCGTTATGTGGAGAGAGAAGTCCGTTATGTGGAGAGAGAAGTCCGTTATGTGGAGAGATTAATCCATTTTTGGGGAGAGAAGTCCGTTATATGGAGGTTTCACTTTAACACAACACTATGATTTCTCATACTCAATCAAGACTCTTGTTATTATTGAAAGATTTAAAATGTTTCCACGGAAGAGCTATCGTAGTGGTACAAACTTGCGATTATTATTATTATTATTATTATTATTATTATTATTATTATTATATTTTTATTATTATTATTTCATTATTATTATTATTATTATTATTATTATTATTTATTATTATTATTATTATTATTATTATTATTAATTTTTTATTATCGTTATTTTTTTACAATCAATCCTGTGTATTGTTATGTAAGGGAAAATACCAGAAATATCCTTTGGACTTTTTCGTGTGGGTACTTATGAGTCTTCTGTACATTCTGTAGCCCAGAGTGTGTATATGTGTGTGTGTTAGTGAGTCTCAATATATACAGGTTATCTTTTATGAATCAAGAGAGACATTGAACGATACAGTAAACATTATAATACCCCAAAAAAATCGAAACTCGGCCACTCGACTCATTTGTTATTCGAATCCCTCTTGATGTCGAAGCAATTACGCATTTTATTCTCCTTCGCAGATTGTTCCCAGCGGCGTATGTACCTGGGGAATCAATCTTTGAACTTGGGAATTCACAATGGAGATGTGAAGCAAGATTTTGAAACTTTAAATCTACAATGAAGCGCTGAAGCAAGATGGAGACAGTGCATGTGAGGGAGAATAATGTGTTGGAGGAAACTATCTCCATCACCACCACCACCACTAGCCAGGAAGTGCAGTGTCAGTCTTGATGAGGGAGGGTGAGGGTGTAAGGTGGCCAGGGTGTCCAATATGGCGACCACACCACCACCCACACCTGCTGGCCGTGGCGATGCTGGCCCAAATGAGGATCTCGCCTATAGCCTGCCGAGGTAAAGTACGGAGGTGTAATTATTGCGTGATCAATCTTGTTTTTGTTTAGGTAGTATTAAACAGTAGCCCGAATGTTAGTTAGTTGCCTGTACTGTACTTTAGTGAGGGACAGTCAGTATTTACTTCAGATCTGTTGAGTGTTATTGAACGAGTGTCTACTGGATAGTAATCAAGGTCCAGTTTCCTCTTGTACTAACACTGGACCATGGAGGACGAACTCGTCAGGAACATTAGGGAGGATTATAGAAGCCACTGACATCCTCCGCTTGGCAAGAAGATGAATGAATGTAGCTAAAAACAAATCAGGTAAAAACATTAATTTGTGACCTGAGATCCGCTGTTGAATTTTTTTTATATACACGTTTTGGAGGTGTAGTGGTGGTGATCAGTAATCCACCCAACATCACCACCCTAAGATCTTAACACCGGATAGCACCGAATTAGATAAGGTTCAGTTAGGCAGGTAATTTGGTGGCTATTTACCATTATTGGGTGTGGAGTGCCCAGAGAAAACCTGTGCCATCTTTGGTAGAGAGGGCAGTCCTCCGTGGTCCAGTGTTAGTACAGGAAGAAACCCACGTAATTATGATTAATACTACTGGAGAGCTAATTGACTCACACACTTTAATTATCATCTTTACCTGAACTAAACACTGAGTTAATTATAAATGATTGTGAGTGCGTGGAATACATACCTAATATTAATACATAATTACGTCAATTTTCACAGTTTTTAACCAATACAAATAACGATTCATGTTTAGTCCCTTGGTGTGATTTATATAATGACTTACATAATTGTTATAATATTTCATAATTATTACTCGCATAACTTTTGGGGAAGAAACTGGAATTATAAGTTTTTTGGGGTAACTATTTTATTCCACCAATTATACGTGTTAGTAAAAAACCTGGTGTGTCCCTTCTGTTGGGGGTCAAGGCTGAGAGAAACACAACATTACTATTGCTGTTGTCCTCTGAGTCCACTTAATGGGGAGAATGAGAAAGAAGAAATGGGGAAAGAGAGAGAGAGAATGAGAGAAATTGGGATTGATCATTCTTATACAAAACTCTCTCTCTCTCTCTCTCTCTCTCTCTCTCTCTCTCTCTCTCTCTCTCTCTCTCTCTCTCTCTCTCTCTCTCTCTCTCTCTCTCTCTCTCATGGTAGTAAGTAACAACTTGTGCCTGTTACTTTTTTGTCTACCAAGTAACACATACCTGAACCCCTTGTGTAAAACAGGGCACATTAGGGGCTGGGTGTAAACGGGACTGCCCAGTATGGGCCAATAGGCTCGCTGCAGTTTCCTCCATTCTTGTGTTCTTAAGTAACACTAGACACCTTAAGTAGCACAATCCTGGTCACCCTCCCTGACTTCTTGACCTAGACTGGTGTGTAATTTAGCAGACAGTGAGGATAAGTTTTAATATGAAGCACACTACTGGAGTTCCTAACCTAACCTACCCAAACCTAACCCAATAATCTAACCTAACCCTCACCCCACTTAACCTAACCTACCCTCACCCCACTTAACCTAACCTACCCTCACCCCACTTAACCTAACCTACCCTCACCTCACTTAACCTAACCT